CGTTGTGAATTCATGAGTTATTGGGGCTTGTGGGATTTCATAGCAGGAGCGGGGTTCGGCACGGAGTATCTGGGGAGACTGTGAGACCCCATGGGAGTTTGTAAGAGCGTCTGATTCCAGAAGGGGAACAGCTCAGCTGGCAGACGGTTTTCATTAGGGAGAACTTACTGGGAGTCCGTAGGCAAAACACTGTAAGAGAGCTTACAAGGGGGCCATGATGTAGGGAAAGGTCTGTGAAAAATCAGAGGGCAACGACACCCCAGCGAAACACCTGCAGCAGAAAGGCTCATCCTTGGGACTCTTTTTGTTTTGTTTTTTTTTGAACTATAGTTGATTTATAGTTGTGTTAGTTTCAGGTATACAGCACAGTGATTCAGTTTTATACATATATACATAGAATATATATATATCTATACTTTTTCAGATTCTTTTCCCTTATAGGTAACTACAAAATATAGAGTATAGTTCCCTGTACTATATAGTGGGTCCTTATTGGTCATCTGTTTTTTATGCAGTAGTGAATATTTTAATCCCAAACTCCTGATTTATCCCTCCCCCTCCTCTCCCTTTCAGTAACCATACGTTTGTTTTCTTTGTGGGTCTGTTTGTTTGGTAAATCAGTTCATTTGTATATTTTTCTTTTTTTTTAGATTCCACATGTAACTGGTATATTTGTCTTTCTCTGTCTGGCTTTACTTCACTTAGTATGAGAATCTCTAGGTCTAGGTCACGCTCTCCTTGAAAAGATACAGCCTAGCTTCCTTGCTGCTAGGCCAGTGGGGATTACTCTCTACTGGTCACACATAGCACCACCCCCCCCACCCACGCAGAGTCACTGCACCTGGGGGAGCAGAGAGGCCAGATGTTCCAAACACACTTTGCAACAGGGATATATCTTCAGCAAGGAGGAGCACGAGGTCCTGGGTAGGCAGCTGGGGAGAGGATGGGGAATGCTGGCTTTCGGGGGCGACAGCCCTGATAGTGTCAGGGAGACTCGGGAATTGGAGAAGGGGAAGCTCTGTTCATCCTCACTGGGGGACCCTCTCTTCAGCAGTGACTAGTATAGAACAGGGTGAGCTGGTGGATTCATATTCAGAGAAAGGGTGTCTTCTTTGCAACCAACACACTTGCCCCCAGCACACCCTTCTCCCTCTGTCTCTGCTCTGTTCTCTAGAACAGCGAAGGTGATGCTTCCGCAGGTGAATGACCTGAGATTGGAAACATGGTTTGTCTGTTTGTGCCTCTCCTGTGTCCCCTCCCTTCAGGCCTTCCACCTTCCTCTCTAATGTTCTGTTCAGACACACCCACTTCCTGCTGTTCAACCCTCAGTTTGCGCAATCCCAAGATGCTTGGATTGGGGGCTGTGACCATTTAAGCCAATGTCATAGCAAAGTGAGAATTTACACACCAGGACCCTTCCTCCATTGAGGAGTCTGGGCAGCCAGGAGGCCTCTTCTCTTTCTGCCGAGGACAGCCTCTTTCTTTGCTAACATGCATCTCTCCTCTCCTCCTGTGGCAGCCACCTGTGGATCAGCTCACTGCGATCCTGGTGGAACTTGCACTTGCCCTTGCCACCTTTTGAGAGGGCGGAGAGTGATTTGAGTGAAGGACTCTCAGCTTGACCACCCTCCTCCTCTGCTCCTGCTCAGCTCCCCCCTCACTTGTGATGAAGGCTAATCAGTCCCCCAGAATGAAGGCCACGCCAGAGGGCATACAAGTAGCGCTTGGTGTGTGTCTGACCTGGCAGTCGTGCCCCAGTTGCCAGCCCCACGCAGTCTCCAGACAGTATGGCATCCTTCCTCCACTGCAGCTTCAATTTGCCTGTCTCAGCAGTTGCTTTGGTCGTTTGTGGTTGTCGTTTTTGTATTGTTTTTGTTTGTGGTTTTTAATTGATGGATAGTTGATTTACAATGTTGTGTTAGTTTCAGGTGTACAGCAAAGTGATTCAGTTATTCATATATATATATATTCTCTTTCAGATTCTTTTCTGTTATAGAAAAGAATAACTCTATTCACTATCTTGTACAAGATAGTGAATAGAGTTCCCTGTACTATACAGTACGTCCTTGTTGGTTATCTATTTTAGACATAGTAGTGTGTATATGTTAACCCCAATGTTTTGGTCATTTGTAATGGTGGTATTGTCCATCTTAAACATGCTTCCCAAATTTTTTATTCACTCCTTTCTTCCATCTTTAAAACAAGACATTCTCTATTAACTACATTTCCCTCTCTAGTAAGTACCCCTTTTCTGTGCCCCATTTCAGAGCACAAGGCCCTAAAAACTTGTTTACATTCTTCAGTTCTTCACTTGAACCTTATCCAATTAAGCTTTCACATCCTCCATGTCACTGACACTTTCTTTTTCAGAGTCACTGATGACCTCCTCGTTTCTTTTTTTTTTAAATTTATTTTATTGAAGTGTAATTGATTTACAATGTTGTGTTAATTTCTGCTGTATATATATATATACCTTTTCATGTTCTTTTCTGTTATGGTTTAATACAGGATATTGAGTATAGTTCCCCTTGGCAATCACCAGTCTGTTCTCCATGTCCATGATTCTGTTTCTGTTTTGTAGATAAGTTTGTGTCATATTTTATTTATTTATTTATTTATAATTTATTTATTTTATTTATTTTTGGCTGCATTGGGTGTTTGTTGCTGCGTGCGGGCTTTCTCTGGTTGCGGTGAGCAGGGGCTACTCTTAGTCGCAGTGCCTGGACTTCTCATTGCAGTGGCTTCTCTTGTTGCAGGGCACGGGCTTTAGGCGCGCGGGCTCAGTTGTTGTGGCTTGCGGGCTCTAGAGCACAGGCTCGGTAGCTGTGGTGCACGGGCTTATTTGCTCCATGGCATGTGGGATCTTCCCAGACCAGGGATCGAACCCATGTCCCCTGCATTGGCAGGTGGATTCTTAATCACTGCCCCACCAGGGAAGCCCCTTGTGTCATATTTTAGATTCCACATATAAGTGATATCATATGTTGTCTTTCTCTGACTTACTTCACTCAGCATGACAATCTCTAGGTCCATCCCTGTTACTGCAAATGGCATTATTTCATTCTTTTTTATGGCTGAGTAGTATTCCATTGTGTGTGTGTGTGTGTGTGTGTGTGTGTGTGTGTGTGTGTACGTACACACCACATCTTCTTTATCCTTTCATCTGTCAGTGAACACTTAGGTTGTTTTCATGTCTTGGTTACTGTGAATAATGCTGCTATAAACATAGGGGTGCATGTATCTTTTTGACTTGTAGTTTTGTCTGGATATATGCCCAGAAGTGGGATTGCTGGATCATATGACAACTCTATTTTTAGTTTTTGAGAAACCTCGGTACTGTTTTCTATAGGAGCTGCACCAATTTACATTCCCAGCAACAGTGTGTGACCTCGTTTCTAAATCCAGTATTTAACTTCCTGTGCTCATTCGCTTTTCCTGTCAGCAGCAGGTGGCACAGGTCCTCACTCCCTCTTCCTTGAAACACTTTCTTTCCATGGTTTTGAGGACGTCCCACTAACCTTTATAAGCCTATCTACCTATTTGTTTTATTTTCCTCTCCCCTCCCTGTTCACTTCTTAGCCCCCTCTGCTGAATTCCTGACCTCCCTGGTCTCTGAATGTGGGTGCATCCCAAGGCTGAGTCCTGGAACCTCTTCTCTGTCTATACCCGCTGCCTTTCCTCATCATCTCATCATACGGCTTTCAACACCACCTACGTGTCTCGCAGTTTATCCTCTCCATCCAGACTTCTGCCTTAAACTCTCAATCCTGTGTCCAGCTGTCTCCTCGACATCTCTGCTGGGGACATCTAACAGGAATCTCCACCTTAATTTGTCCAAAACTGGTCTTGACCTCCCCCAACCCTGTTCCGCCTGCCGTCCTCCACATCTCAGTTAAGGGCAACCCTGTGACTATCTCGGCATTGTAAATGCATTACATTATTTGTAAGTGTTTTAATGTATAAGATAAAAGAAATATTAGATGTTTACTTAAAGTGAGAGAAACAATACATAGTTTCTAAAATTCTTTTGAGAGATGGGCGAAAAATGCTTGGAGACCAAGGCCCTTCATCATCAGCTTCCTCCGGTGCCTCTCTGACCTCCCCTCCCGCCCACCTCCTCACCCTGCTGCAGCCACCCAGCCCTCTTTCCCTCTCCAGGGATGAAGCTTGTACTCTCAGGGCCCTCACGGAGGTGTCTCTCTGCCTAGAACTATCGGACTCAGGAGCCGCAGGTGGCAAACACCCTTCCTCCCTCAGGTCTTTGGTCTGATGTTAGCGTCTGAGTGGAGCCTTCTCTGACCAACCCCCTCCCATTTAACATGCCAGCCACTCCCTCACCCCCACCTCTGGTCCATGACACTTGCTTGACGTGTTTTCTTCTGCCCCTTCCCCTTCCACTGCTGGGTCCTGGTGACAGCAATTCACCACGGGTCAAAAAGAGACAGAAAGAAGGTGGGAGACGGGCCCGGCTTGCCTCCCGGCTTCACATTAGACGGATGAGGCATTTTGCAGATACATGTTTTGTACCCCTCCCCCATCAAAGAGTCTTCGTCAAATTTAGTTGGGTGAGGCATAGCCCCAGAAATGTTTTAAAGTGCCCCCAATGATTCTGATCTGTGTCCTGCACTGAGCACCAGGGCTCTGTATCTTCCCTTTCTGAGGCTGAGATTAGCCCCTGGGAGAGGCAAGGGGATTCTGCTCCACGTGGGGATGGATCAGGGCTGGTCTGTGACCTGCAGGGGATCATCGGGTCCAGCTGAGGTGCCCGCTGCTGCTGGGTACGTGAGGGCCTCACCAGGAGGGGAGCGAGATCTGAAGAAAGTGTGGGAAAACTCACCTGTTGGTCTTTTACGAGTTTACTGTCCTGAGCCCCTCCTGGGACAGTGGGTAGCAGAGGACCGTCTGTTCCACATGCTGAGGGCTTCCCTGTGTGTGTGGTGGTGACTCAGGAAGGGGGTGTGTTGATTCTGAGCATTAAACAGCATCTTTTCCACTTTCAGGGTCGACTTGAAAGACTCATATTGCCTGAGGAAGAAGCCCTGAAGAGGAGGAAGAGGAAAGAAAGAGGAGTCTGGAATGGCTCTTTCTCAGGTAAAGTCATATTCTCAGTTGTTTCTTCTGTCTGTCCTTCCTGAAATGCCCTTCTTTGGACTCACTGATCTTGTCTGACTCTGAAGTATCCTGCCTGACACCTGTACAGTCATAGCCACCCGGGGCCTTCCCTCAGGGCCTGCCATCTCCACTTAGATTCTGTCTCATAATGACCCAGTGACGTGGAACTTGAAGAAGCTCCATTGTGGTCATCAGGAGACAACTCTTATTTCAGTAAATTTAAGTGTGTATATGTGTGTGCACGAGTGCATGGATGCTCAAGCCCATGGTTTTTATAAAATACATGTCATTATCTCTAAGTAGGTTAGGTATGGGAATTCCCTGGCGGTCCAGTGGTTAGGACTCAGCGCTTCCACTGCAGGGGGCACAGGTTCAGTCCCTGGTCGGGGAACCAAGATCCCACAAGCTGCGTGGCGCAGCCAAAAAAATTATAAATAAATAAATAAGTTATATATTATTTAGTTGTTGAAATTATAAGTATTTTTCATTGCATTAACTTTTTTCTACACTATGACATTAATGAGTTAAATAGTTATGAAAAGAGTAACATGTATGTGCGTGTGTGTGCATGTCTTCATGATGACATTTTATGTAGTTCTAGGTTGTTAGCCTTGAACTTGTTTCAGGTTTCCTCAGGGAACCCTCTGTCAATGTACCTTTGATGCTTTTATATGACTTAAATGCTTTAACGTTTAAATTCAGAATCTAAACACCTGGATTTATATGTTTGTTCTACCATCTTTAGCAATTTGACCTGAGGCAAATTTCTTAGAATGTCCGTGACACAGCTGTCTCTGCCTTAAGATGGAAGGGACCAGACCTTTTTTTTTTTTTTTAAATTGTTTTAAATTTGATATTGGAGTATAGTTGATTAACAATGTTGTGTTAGTTTCAGTTGTACAACAAAGTGATTCAGTTATACATAACACAGGTATCTGTTCTTTTTCAAATTCTTTTCCCATTTAGGTGATTACAGAGTATTGGGCAGGGTCGCTTGCTATACAGTAGGTTCTTGTTGGTTATCTATTTTATTTTATTTTTAAAAATTTATGTGTTTATTTTTGGCTGTGTTGGGTCTTTGTTGCTGCGCATGGGCTTTCTCTAGTTGCGGCGAGTGGGGGCTACTCTTCGTTGCGGTGCACGGGCTTCTCATTGTGGTGGCCTCTCTTGTTGCAGAGCATGGGCTCTAGGCGTGCGGGCTCAGTAGTTGTGGCTCGTGGGCTCTAGAGCGCAGGCTCAGTAGTTGTGGTGCACAGGCTTAGTTGCTCCGCGACATGTGGGATCTTCCTGGACCAGGGCTTGAACCCATGTCCCCTGCATTGGCAGGCGGATTCTCAACCACTGCGCCACCAGGGCAGTCCCTGGTTATCTATTTTAAGCATAGCACTATGTGTATTGTCAATCCCAAGCTCCCAATTTATCCCTCCCCACCCCTGACCAGATCTTTTGATTATGTTTTTTTTAATTTTACTTACTTATATATTTTAAAAGTAATTTTTATTGGAGTATAGTTGATTTACAATGTTGTGTTAGTTTCAGGTGTGCAGCAAAGTGAATCAGTTATACATATACATACATCCATTCTTTTTCAGATTCTTTTCCCATATAGGTTATTACAGACTGTTGAGTAAAGTTCCCTGTGCTATACAGTAGGTCCTTGTTGGCTATCTATTTTATATGCAGTAGTGTGTGTATGTTAATCCCAAACTCCTAATTTATCCACACCCTCACACCCCCTTTCCCCTTTGGTAACCATAAGTTTGTTTTCTATGTCTGTGAGTCTGTTTCTGTTTTGTTTATTTATTTTAATATTTTAATTTTATTGGAATATAGTTGATTTACAATGTTGTGTTACTTTCAGGTGTGCAGAAAAGTGAATCGGTTATACATGTATCCACTCTTTTTTAGATTCTTTTCAAATTTTTTTTAAATTTTTTAAATTAATTTTTTTTGGAGTAGAGTTGGTTTACAATGTTGTGTTAGTTTCTACTGTACAGCAAATGAATCAGCTATACGTATACATATATCCCCTCCTTTTTGGATTTCCTTCCCATTTAGGTCACCACAGAGCATTAAGTAGAGTTTCCTGTGCTATACAGTATGTTCTCATTAGTTATCTATTTTATAAGTAGTATTAATAGTGTATATGTGTTAATCCCAATCTCCCAATTCCTGCCACTCCCCCCATTTTCCCCCTTGGTATCCATACATTTATTTTCTACATCTGTGTCCCTATTTCTGCTTTGCAAATAAGATCATCTATACCATTTTTCTAGATTCCAGATATATACAGTAATATATGATACTTATTTTTCTCTTTCTGACTTACTTCACGCTGTATGACAGTCTCTAGGTCCATCCATGTCTCTACAAGTGACCCAATTTCGTTTCTTTTTATGGCTGAGTAATATCCCATTGTATATATGTACCACATCTTCTTTATCCATTCCTCTGTTGATGGACATTTAGGTTGCTTCCATGTCCTGGCCATTGTAAATAGTGCTGCTGTGAACACTGGGGTGCATGTGTCCTTTTGAATTATGGTTTTCTCAGGGTATATGCCCGGTAGTGGGATCGCTGGGTCAGATATTTTTAAATTTGGTATTATGTTATTATACGAGTTAGTACATGCAAAGTATTTAGAGGAATGCGTAGCACATGAGGAGTGTTCAAACACTTTTTGAGATTACTGTTGCTGTCATCACCGTTTCTTTAAAGCCCCTATAGACGTTGTCATCTTTGAAGATGTCATTCCTGCTCTTGTTCCTCTAGACATTGAATATAACTTGGTGTGTGGAGCATATCTCACATTTCTATACAGATAATCCTGTGTTGATTGTGTGTGTGTGTTTCTTGTATTGTCCACAAAAATGGGAAGTCCACACTGATTTAGAGGCTATCATAACCTCTTATGGAAAAGTGTAATAAACCAAAATTAGGGACACATAACTTGCTCAAAAATACCGTAAGTGGATCTGCAACAATACTCACTTCAGTCCAATCGATCCTTTCCCCTCTCTCTCCTCTTCTCATTTTGTGTAAAAATAAGGACTCTCCTCATGGCCCGTTGGTGAAATGTGTTTTCATTTCAGACACAGTTGACATTCAAGGATGTGGCCATAGAATTCTCTCAGGAGGAGTGGGAATGCCTGGACCCTGCTCAGAGGGCCTTGTACAGGGACGTGATGTTGGAGACCTACGGGAACCTGCTCTCCCTGGGTGAGGATAACTTCCCTCCAGAATTCGGGACCTGTCCTTGGGTATCTTTGCATTTTCCCTTGTGTGCCTCTTGGGAACCCCTACATTGCCTGCCTGAGATCAAAGCCCTGTTGACTCAGAAATGAACAGCTTCATAATGTAGCATGAGGACTTTGAACTTGTCCTTTCTTCATATGATCTTCCCATTTCATGATCAAGGGTGATTCCAGAGCTTACATATGCATAAAATCTTATGGCAAACTTAAAATATCCAGTTCCCTCTTTTCGACCCCTGTGCTTTTGATTCAGTGCTTCTTGGAAGAGAGCTAGATGTCTGCATATTTTACTACGCTCTGTGCATTCAGAAGGAGACAGTCAGTGGGTGAATTTTTGAAATTGTTTGTTTAGCTTTATTGAGGTATAGTTGTCAAATAAAATTGTAATATATTTAAAGTGTACAACGTGATGATTTGATATACATATACATTGTGAAAGGATTCCCATCAAGTTAATTAACATACGTTACCTCACATACTTTTTTTTTTTTGGGGAGAACACTTAAGTTCTACTCTCGTAGCACATTTCAGTTTTATAGTATTATCCACTATATTTATCACGTTTTACATGAAATGTTCAGACCTTATTCATCTTATGATGGAAATTGTGTGCCCTTTTATCAACCTTTCCCCATTTCCATAACCCCCAGCCCCGGGGGTTATGGAATAACACAGTTATTCTACTCTGTGTTTCTAGACCTGGTTTCTTCCCTCATCATTGTACTCCCTCCCACTGATTGACTGATTGATGGCTGCGCCGGGTCTCAGTTGCGGCATGTGGGCTCCTTAGTTGCGGCATGCATGCGGGATCTAGTTCCCTGACCAGGGATCGAACCCAGGCCCCCTGCATTGGGAGCGCAGACTCTTACCCGCTGGACCGCCAGGGAAGTCCCTGTGCTCCCTCCCTTTTAGATCTCTTCCTTTTTGCCCCATGTCCTATAGTTAAGAATGGGACAATATTATGCTACTTGCTAAGTCAGTTTCTCTTTTTTCCTCAGTCAACATTTTAAGTGTCCGAATGCATTTATCTTCCCACAGATTGGCAAGTACACACACTGCCCACATGCCCATTACTTCCTAGTCTCTATGCTTATTAACATTTTTTTATTCTCTTTTTTTTAATTGAAGTGTACTTGATTTACAATGTGTTAATTTCTGCTGTTCAGCGGAGTGATTCAGTTATATATACATATATATATATACATACATATATATATATATATATATATGTATACATACATTCTTTTTCACATTGTTTTTTGTTGTAGTTTTCTTATGACAGGGCCGAAAGTAAGCTCATCACACGAGATGAGTTGTGCAGAAGCACAGCAGTAGAGGGCTGCTGCTCGCTCAGGCAATACAGCGCCGTCTGTCCTGCTGTGGTGACTTTTATTTAAGCGTTATCTATGTTTACATCTTAAGACTTGTTTTCTTAACATTCCAGAAATGCCAAAGCAGCAACATATGCTTTTATTTATTATACAAGCAACAATGGGCTTTCTTGAAGACATGCCGTGCTTCGTCCTTAAGCTCATAAGCAACACAAGGACATCTCCTTGTGTTCCCATCATTCTGATTATACTAAAGTAGCACAAGGACGTTTCCTTGTGTTCTGATTATACCGAGGTCATTTCATGGATCAGTGCCCAGAGTATCCAGGACTGCCTGCAGTCCTGGCTTATTCGCCCGCCCTCGGTTTGCCGAGGGGGGGCTCATGGGTCACATCTCCTTTCCATGTCCTCAGTTATTCCACTACATTTTCCATTATGGTTTACCCCAGGTTATTGAATATAGTTCCCTTGCTTATTTTTCAAAACACGTTGTTTGTTTTCTTAGTTTTGAGAGTTCTTTGTATAACCTGGACACAAGTCCATGGTGAGATATCTGTCGTGCACATATTTTCCCCTAGTCTGTAGCTGGTGTTTTCATTTTCTTAACAGTGTCTTTTTTAAAGAACTTTTAAAAAATTGAAGTGTAGTTGGGAATTCCCTGAAGGTCCAGTGGTTAGGACTCTGCACTCTCAATGCTGAGGGCCCAGGTTCAATCCCTGGTCGGGGAACTAAGATCTCGCAAGCCGCTTGGCCAAAAAAAAAAAAAAAATTGAAGTATAGTTGATTTACAGTGTTGTGTTAATTTCTGCTGTACAGCAAAGTGATTCAGTTATACCTACATATACATCCTTTTTTATATTCTTTTCCATTATGATTTATCACACAATATTGAATATAGTTCCCTGTGCTGTACAGTAGGACTTTGTTGTCTGTTCATTCTGTATATAGTAGTTTGCATCTGCTAATCCCAAACTCCCAATCCGTATCTCCACTGCTCACCCTTCCTCTTGGCAACCACATGTCTGTTCTCTATGTCTGTGAGTCTGTTCCTGTTTCATTTGTGCTTTTTTTTTTTTTTTTTTTTTTTTCTTGTTTTTTTTTGGTTTTTTTTTTTTTTTTTTTTTTTTGCCGTGTGGCTTGCAGGATCTTAGTTCCCCCACCAGCGATTGAACCCTCACCCTCAGCAGTGAAAGCACAGAGTCCTAACCACTGGACCGCCAGGGAAGTCCCATATGCCAAATTTTAGATTCCACATATGAGTGATATCACGTGGTGTTTGTCTTTCTCTTTCAAAAAGTCAGTAGTCTTAACGTAAATTTCAGTTCTCGTTTTGTGTTGTTTCTGGAACAGAAGCCTTGCTTTTTTTTGTCTTCAGAAGGATTTGTTGAGAATTTCACAAACAATAGTTTCATATAATTGCGCTTGCTTATTACTTATACCCTGGTTTTATCATAGCTTACTAGAATGTTTTATTTACTAATTTTCTTTTTTTTTAATTGAAGTATAGTTGATTTACAATGTTGTGTTAATTACTGCTGTCCAGCAGAGTGACTGAGTTATACCTACACATATATACATTCTTTTCCATATTCTTTTCCATCATGTTTTGTCACTGTTTGCTAATTTTCATTATGATTTATAGATGATGGCTTTTCAGTGGGTATTATGCAGTATAACTGACTCACATCACTGGTTAGTGTTGCAGAATGGCCATTCTGAGTGAATATAGTTCTATGACTTTTATAACTGGTATTCAGAGAATTACTGTATTTTTATAACATTGTTTTATTAAACTTCATTTCCACTTCTAAATTGCCATTTATTTATATTACTCATTAGTTAAAATTATGGCTTATTTACCATTAGAGTACTGTGCTTTAGCATTTATTGGTGCACAATCGATATGCAGTAAATATGTGTAATATCTTTTATCTCTTCAAATCTGAAACCGCCATATGTTTTCTGTGAAGTGGTGTGTGCTTTGGGGTCATGGTACAAAAATACCCCTTCTTTCAGGGCTAACATGGGTACACTATGGGTGTTTCAGCCATTGATTGTTTAAAGTAGGCTTCCCTAAAATTAATTTGAAATACATGTAATCACCCTTTCTCTCTTTTTTTTTTCCCTAATTTATTCATTTTTGGCTGCATTGGGTCTTCGTTGCTGCACGTAGGCTTTCTCTAGTTGCGGTGAGCAGGGGCTATTCGTTGCGGTGCGCAGGCTTCTCATTGTGGTGGCTTCTCTTGTTGTGGAGCATGGGCTCTAGGCACGTGGGCTTCAGTAGTTGTGGCACGTGGGCTCAGTAGTTGTGGCTCGCGGGCTCTAGAATGCAGGCTCAGTAGTTGTGGTGCATGGGCTTAGTTGCTCTGTGGCATGTGGGATCTTCCTGGACCAGGGATCGAACCGTGTCCCCTGCATTGGCAGGCGGCTTCGTAACCACTGCGCCACCAGGGAAATCCCACCCTTTCTTTATGAAAGAATCTCATTCCCTTTGTGTTCCTAAAAACTGAAGATCATGGTTGCAACGTTTCTTAACTGTTCAAAATATGTAGTACTTCTGATACAATATTATGTTCTTCAATATGAAATATTTCTTTCAAACTGTAATTAATAGGAGACATACGATTCTTTATGTCTTGTAGATACCTCTCTTAAACGTGTGATCAAGGAATCTGCACCAAAAGAGAACAGTCATACAGGGGAAGTGTTGCAAACAGTGTTGTTGGAAAGACATGAAAGCTGTGAGACTGAGGACTATGGCTATAGGGAAATCCAGAAAAATGAGCGTGACTTTGAGTACCAGTGGAGAAGTGACAAAAGAAATTACAGAGGAGTGCCTGTCACCCATAAAAAAAATCTCACTGGTAGAAGAGATCAACATGGTAGAAGAGATGAAGGAGACAAGCCTATTGAAAACAGGCTCGGACTAAGCTTTCAGTCACATCTGGCCGAACTGCAGATATTTCCAACTGAAGGGCCATTGTATGAGTATCATCAAGTTGAGAAGTCTAACAACAGTGGTTCCTCACTGTCAGTACTTCAGAGAATTCTTCCGAGTGTCCAAACCAACATTTTTAATGAATATGGGAATGATTTCTGGCATTCTTCATTACTCACAGAAGACCAGAAAGCATACATTAGGGAAAAACCTTACAAATGTGATGAGTATGACAAAGCAGTTAATCATGGCTCACAACTCACTAACCATCAGGTAATCCACACAGGTGTGAAACCTTACAAATGTAATGTATGTGGCAAAGCCTTTAACCAGAGCTCACATCTCACTAGACATCAAAGAATCCACACAAGAGGGAAACATCACAAGTGTGAGGAATGTGGTAAGGGCTTCAGTTACAGTTCACACCTTCTACGTCATCGCAGAATTCATACCGGAGAGAAACCCTACCAGTGTAGCGAGTGTGACAAAGCCTTTAGTGTGTATTCAAGTCTTATTTATCATCAGGTCGTCCATACTAGAGAGAAACCGTACAAATGTAATGAGTGTGGCAAGGTCTTCAGTCAGAGTTCAAGCCTTACTAATCATCGCAGGATTCATACTGGAGAGAAACCTTACAAATGTAATAAATGTGGCAAAGCCTTTAATCAGAGCTCCCACCTCACTCGACATCAGGTCATGCACACTGGAGAGAAACCCTACAAATGTAGTGAGTGTGGGAAGGTCTTCACTCAGAATTCAAGCCTCGTAAGTCATCGGAGAATTCATACTGGGGAGAAGCCATACAAATGCAACGAGTGTGGCAAAGCATTTGGTGTGTATTCAAGTCTTACTTATCATCAGGTCACCCATACTAGAGAGAAACCTTACAAATGTAATGAGTGTGGCAAGGTCTTCAGTCAGAGTTCAAGCCTTCCTAGTCATCGCCGGATTCATACCGGAGAGAAACCTTACAAATGTAATCAGTGCGGCAAATCCTTTATTCATTGCTCAAACTTCAACAGACATAAGAAAATCCACACTGGAGAGAAACCTTACCAATGCAGTGAGTGTGGCAAGGTCTTCACTCAAAACTCAAGCCTCATAAGTCATCGGAGAATTCATGCTAGAGAGTAACCTGACCGATGTAACAAGTGTGGCAAAATAACACAAGTTCAAGCATGGATTGACACCAGAGAGTCCACACTAAAGAGAGACTACATCAGTGTAACATATAGGACAGAGGACTTGTACAGACTTCGCAACTCACTAGACATCAGAATATACATCTTTGATGAAGCCACAAGAATGTAATGTGTGTATAAATGTGTGTAGATCAAAACTACAGAACATCGCAAGATTCCTACTGGAGAGCAGCTTTACAAATGTAATGAATGTGGGAAGGCTTTTTATTAAACATTCATGGCTTTGATGTCATGAGAGGATTTATACCTGAGAGAAACCAGGGAAATTTTTTTTTTTTTTTTTTTTTAGGTACGCGGGCCTCTCACTGCTGTGGCCTCTCCCGTTGCGGAGCACAGGCTCCGGACGCGCAGGCCCAGCGGCCATGGCTCACGGGCCCAGCCGCTCCGCAGCATGTGGGATCTTCCCGGACCGGGGCACGAACCCATGTCCCCTGCGTCGGCAGGCGGACTCTCAACCACTGCGCCACCAGGGAAGCCCAGGGAAATTTACTGAATGTGGAAAGGCCTTTAAGCAACAGTGTCCCCTCAGGATTCACCAAAGAATTCATAACGGAAGGAAGCCTTACAAAAGTAATGAATATTTAAAATTTCTTCAAGACTTTTTGCAACAGAATCCACATCAGAGCATTCACATGAGGAATAACTAAGTCTCAAGTTTAGTCTGAAATATTGCATACTGCAGAATAAAATTAAAAGTCAAAATATGTTAAAACTTAGGTAGATATGTAGATAGATCCTGAGGATGTTATCCTATGGTTTCTTTTCTGAATCTCTTATAGTTTAAAGTGGTATGGTTTTACATTTCACGTTTAAAGCTATGACCGATTTTGAGCTAATATTTGTACAGGTGTGAGGTTTTGGTGGAGATTCATTTTTTTTTCCTAGTGTGGAAGATCAGTTGATATGGTGTAATTTTTTTCAGATTCTTGCTTCATTCAGGTTTCTTGGTACCTTTGTCAAAACTCAGTTGCAAGTAATTGTGTGGGGCTATTTCTGGGTTCTCTGTTTTGTTCCATCGTTCTGTATGTCTCCCTCCACAAAATCAGTCTTGATTATTTTTTATCTTATTAGAAGTTTTGAATTGAATGAGTGATTCCAACCAGTTTATTCTTCTTCAGATATTTTAGCTATTCTAGTTCCTTTTGCCTTTCCATATAAGTTTTAGAAAAATCTTGTTTGTGCCTACAAAATATCTTGATAGAAAATGCATTAAGCCTGCCTGTCAGTTTGCGATCATTTGACATCATTTCTATGTTAGGCCTTCCAATAAATGGCTGTAGTATGTCTATTTATTTCTCTGATCTTTGGTTTCTTTCACCAGTATTTTATAGATTTCAGCATCAAAATCCCGTCAGCGTTTTGTATGATTAACACATTACTACTTTTTTCTTTTTTGAATAATTGGACATGTTATTTTTAACTTGTTTCCATGTGTTAATTGCTACTATATAGAAATACAATAGATTTTTGAATGTTGACCTTGTATCCTCAGAACTTACTAGTCTCACTTATTCTAGAGGTATTCGCAGATGACTTGGACTTGTCTGTATATATCATTTCATTAGTTTCCTAATGCAGCTTGTTGACGAAAATTCAATTATCTATCAAGAAGAAAAAAAAAAGGGGGGATTTTTTGCACGCCAAATTGAGGACTATAATCCAGGAAGCAGATTCTCCGAAAGCTCTGAGAACTGTTCCAGCTGTTAGAGTTCAAGGTACAGTCATACACATTTTCGAGACAAAGGATCGTGCATCAGAATGACATACTGATACTTGACATAAAGTTCACCAAGGATACGTAGTCCAGGTGAGTACATACAACGTGAGCAGCAAGTCACCATGACCCCCTACAGAGTTGGGAAAGAACGCTATTCTTGTAAGAAGTTAAATTGCTAGTGTCAAAAGAGAGGAAAAAAATTTGACCTCTCCGGTTGGTTGGGCAGGCACTCCCACCTTTGAGGAGCTGTGGTTAATGTGTAATGCAGATGCACACTGCACATTTGGGAGGGAGGAGGCCCAAACAGAATTTTAATTTTTTTCTTGTCTTGCCTTAAAATATAAATTTTATTTCATCAGGCGTTAAGAAATTATCACAAACTAGGTGGATTAAAACAATAAAATTTATTCTCTTTCAGTTCAGGTCAGACGTCTAAAATGGGTATGTTAACAGAACTGTAACCCTGACATTCCAGGGAGGAATTTATTTCCTTGCACTTTGCAAATTCTGCAGACTGCTTATATGCTTTGCCGCCTCATCCATCATCAAAGTCAGCCAGGTACCATCTTAATATCTTTTTATCTCCGTCCTTCTTCCACCACAGTAGCAGCTTCTATGTGGCCAAGTCCAACTGCATCCTTCTTATTCAACCCCTTCTGATTATACCATGTTTATTGGATGATCCAGGATAATCTCTCATCTCAAGATCCTTAACACTTGAAGGTTACAGGGGTGAGGATGTGGCTGTCCTTTGGTGGCGGGAGGTGATTGTTCAACCCACCACCACAATGATACCTCCTCCTGATGGATACACTGTTATATCTTCTTTCTGTTCTTTATCACTTCTATTTCCTTTTATTCCCTTATTTCATTGGCTGTAACTTCTAATTGCATGTTGACTAACAGTGGTAAGAGCGGACATCCTTGTCTTATCCTCAGTCTCTGTGGGGGAAGCATTCAGTCTTTCACCATTAAGAATGATGTTTGTTGTAAGGTAAGCTTTCTTAGGTGTTCTTTATTGAGTTGAGGAAATTTCCCTCTATTCCTGGTTCTCTGAAAGCTTAAACTGAGTGTTGAATGTCGTCAAATGCTTTTTCTGCATCAATTGATAGGATGCTATGATTTTTCCACTGTAATCTGTTGCTACTGTGATTTATGTTGATTGTTTTTTAAATGTTAAAACAGCCTTGCATCCCTCGAGTGAACCCCTTTTGGTCATCGTGTACAGTTCTTCCTATATATTGTTTGTTTTAAATATTTATTTATTTGGCTGTACCAGGTCTTAGTTGCGGCACACAGGATCTTCAGTTGCAGCATGTGGGATCTAGTTCCCTGACTAGGGATCGAACCTGGGCCCCCTGAATTGGGAGTTTGGAGTCTTAGCCACTGGACCACCAGGGCAGTCCCTCTTTCTATATATTGCTAATTTCTATCACTAATATTTTGTAAGAATTTTTGCTTTTTTTTTTTTTTTTTGCGGTACACGGGCCTCTCACTGTGTGGCCTCTCCTGTTGCGGAGCACAGGCTCCGGACGCACAGGCTCAGCGGCCATGGCTCACGGGCCCAGCCGCTCCGCAGCATGTGGGATCTTCCCGGACCGGGGCACAAACCCGTGTCCCCTGCATCGGCAGGCGGACTCTCAACCACTGCGCCACCAGGGAAGCCCTGCATATTTTTTATGTGGGATTTAGTTAGTAGTTATTGCTTTCTTCAAATGCCTTTATTTTTGTTACCATGGTAATAGTAGTCTCAGAAATTGAGTTAAAAAGTATTCATGGTCTATTTTCTGGAAGAAATTGTATACAAATGCTGTTATTCTTCATACATTTGATAGAATTGCCTAGTATCACCAGTTGAGTCTAGCAATAAGTTTGGGAGGGGCACTTTTTTTGAGGTAAGAACACTTAACATGAGTACTACCATGTACAGTGTTGTTAGCTATAGGTAGTATGTCATATCGTAGATCTCCAAAACTTATTTATCTTGTATAACTGAAACTTTGTACCCTTTGAACACCATCTCCCCATTTCCCTCTCCACTAGTCCCTGGCAACCAACATGCTACTCTGATTCTATGAGTTTGACTATTTTAGGTTCCACATAAAAATGAGATCATATAGTATTTTTCTCCATCGGTCTTGTTTCACTTAGCATTGAGTCCTCCAGGGCTATCCATGTTGTTGAACAATGACAGGATTTCCTTCTTTGTTAAGACTGAATAAGATTGCATTGCATGTTTATAAAACATTTTCTTTATCCATTCTTGTGTTGATGCTCATTTACGTTGTTTCTATACTTTGATTATTGTGAATAATGCTGCAGTGAACATAGGAGTACTGGTACTTCTATGAGATCCTGATTTTATTTCCTTTGGATATATAACCAGCAGTGGGATTGTTGGGTCATATGGTAGTTCTATTTATAATTTTTGGAGAACCCACCATACTGTTTTCTGTAGTGGCTGTACCACTGTTCCCTTTTCTCAAACATCCTTGGCAACATTTGTTATTTGTTTCTTTAAGAATCACCTTAGGGACTTCCTGGTGGTGCAGTGGTTAAGAATCCGCCTGCCAATGCAGGGGACATGGGTTCGAGCCCTGGTCCGGGAAGATCCCACATGCCATGGAGCAGCTAAGCCCATACACCACAACTACTGAGCCTGCTCTCTAGAGCCTGTGAGCCACAACTACTGAGCCCGTGTGCCACAACTACTGAAGCCTGTGCGCCTAGAGCCCGTGCTCCGCAGCAAGAGAAGCCACCACAATGAGAAGCTCGCACATCACAACGAAGAGTAGCCCCTGCTCTGTGCAACTAGAGAAAGCCCGCATGCAACAACGAAGACCCAATGCAGCCAAAAATAAATAAATATATAAATAAATTTATGTATTAAAAAAAACTAATAACCATTCTAACAAGTATGAAATGATATAGCATGGTGGCTTTGATTTGCTTTTCCCTGATTAGTGATGTTGGGTATCTTTTCATATACCTGCTGACCATTTGTATGTCTTCTTTTGAGAAATGTGTGTTTAGGTCCTTTGCCCATTTTTTAATTGGATTATTTGGGGGAGTTTGCTATTGAGATGAGTTCCTTACATATTTTGGATATTAACCCCCTATCAAATATATGGTTTGCAAATACTTTCTCCCATTCTGTAGATTGCCTTTTCACTCTTTTTTAATTTTATTATTGTTTTTTAAATTATTTATTTATTTGGCTACACCAGTCTTAGTTGCGGCATGTAGGATCTTTAGTTGTGGCATGCAGGATCTTTAGTTGTGACATGCAGGATCTAGTTCCTTGACCAGGTATCAAACCTGGGTCCCCTGCATTAGGAGCGTGGAGTCTTAGCCACTGGACCACCAGGGAAGTCCCTGCCTTTTCACTCTTTTTTTTTTTTTAATAAATTATTTTATTTATTTGGCTGCGTTGGGTCTTTGTTGCTGCATACAGGCTTTCTCTAGCTGCGGCGAGCGGGGGCTACTCTTTGTTGTGGTGCGCGGGCTTCTCATTGTGGTGGCTTCTCTTGTTGCAGAGCACGAGCTCTAGGTGTGTGGGCTTCAGTAGTTGTGGCACACAGGCTCAGTAGTTGTGGCACATGGGGTTAGTTGCTCTGCAACATGTGGGATCT